CGGTCGTCCAGTGCTTCCAGGTTTTAAATGGTGGTCTAACATTGATTGGTTCACGATCTCAATTAAAACTGACCAATCCCCACAACCCTATACTGTTAATTAAAGATATGATTCGTCGAATGACAGTTATCATACATTCTATTAAGCGGCAGTCCCGTTGTAATGCAAACTAACTGGATTTGGAAAAAATAAATACATTCCCACAAATTACCTACTTCTACATAACGCTGGTAAGTGAACAATGTTGAACATTACAAATAAAATTATATATTTGTAATATCCCAATGAGTAAAAAAAATTAGGTTTTCTGACGTTTCGTGACTCAGTGTAGGCCACTTCTTCATAAAATGAATAACCAAATCAAAATTAATCCAAGTTTAAATAGTACAAAGGAACAATGCAAGAATATTATTACAAATATATACTATTTTTATTGATAAAAAAAATCTACCCAATGCTCAATTTATTCGAAATTATCAAGTCAAACCTTGGTAATGATACCTAAATTGTTGAACATTTATTAAGTTATGATCCTATTACATATATCCATTAATTTTTGTTATATATATATATATATATGACGAAATTAATTATAATTTTATGCTAGTAAAAACTGTTTTACTAAATGAAATGTGTATGTGTGTGAAAGCGAGAGTGGGAGAGAGAGAGAGAGAGCGGGTATTTTGTAATTAGTGACGTAAGAGAATATAACTAACTGATAGAAAAGGAGCTGATGTAAATTAATGTAACGATGATACGTATATATATTTTTCTACAAACAATAATTATGTATTCACATATGCACACTCACAAATACATGTCGACAGATAAGAAACACTACTATTATTACTTGTAATACTAACAAACATTTTCAACTGTGCATAAGTAACATATCATGAATACTAAGATTAAAACCTATCAATAATAATAATAATAATAATAATAATGATCACTGGTGTGCTACTACCGTAGCTGAGGGACATATTATTAAATCATTCATGATTAGAAAAGTATGTAATCTTAATAATATCATACGAGAAAAACGTGCTATATGATAAAAAATGACGTAACTGTTTTAACTTTTTCTTCAGATTTGATTGTTGTTACTATCAGTTTTTTTTCTTGCAGAAAAAGTCTGATAATATCTCTAACGATAAGGAGTGGAATATTACGTGTGCATGTATAGTTGCATGTATTTTCTCTTTACAGTTGGCATTACTATCATGAATTGAATTGATGACAATGATGACGAGGGTGATAATCACAACTACGATGTGATGTATACTTACGTATACACAAAATTAACATTGTAGTTTAAGGATCATTTTTTTAAGCTTGATCACTATGAATGCCAACATTATGTATATTTAAATATTCATTAGAATCTGCTTAAATCATTCATACAATTGATACAATTAACAATTTGAAAGAAAATTTTTTTGTAAGGTTATTCTTTTAATAATATAGTCATTCTAGAAATTTCTACATTAAAACAGGTAACCGTATCAGACGTAGTCTAACTAAAACTATGTAACTAACTTCACACACATGTATGTACGTATTTAGTACTCTATTCGATTTGTTATGACTTCTCACAATTGCAATATTCTATTCAGCTATCACAAAGCGGAATGAAAGACATGCATCTAGGTTTTTTCATTTGTCTACACTAGTGTCAAGCATACTTCTCAGTAATAGTGGTTTCTACATTAACTTAAAAATCAAGTCGGATAAGTTGAGTAATCATAATTGACATGTTAGTGGATTAGCATGTTTACATTTAACTGATAACTTGTGCTACTACTCAATAGACATTGGGAAAAAGTGGTCATCATCACGTGTTGACAATAAATTAAAGACTACATCTGCAGTCAAGAAGTATTAAATAAATACTTCAGTTTGTTCTCTGGCTTTCGTGTAGTCACCGAGAATCAAATAAATGAATGTTAGAAATTTTAGACAAAGAGAGAACATTAATCACTGAATCATAAAGTCTAGTTTCAGTAATCCATACTTTAAACATAGCCTGTTATACACATAACGACCCGTGTTTTCATTGTTGTGTACGCTAATAAAATTGTAAAAGGCAATCGGTCAGGAAACCGATAGGTCCGATCAATTTAGCCTCATCATATGTCTATCCGCGCATGCCAGATCAAGTGATAGGCGAATGCCGTTCGTTGATGGATGCTATTATTTGAGATCTTGCCTAATTATCCGAGGGGTCTGAGGGTCTTGAGTTCGATTACCGATTGTGTGGTTGTGAACGCGTACTGCTAAGTGGTTCCATGCAAGGCGCAATCGCCGTTAAATACTTCCAGATTTTCAATGGTAGTCTAGCTAAGATCAGTTCGCGTTTCAAACTATGAAAATATATGGATGAGTTTGTATAAACTTTGATTCGGTCAGCCAATAAAGCTTCCTATCCATTCCTTGTCTTTTCATTCAAATAGCCAATTGAGCTCGGAGATGTAAAAAGAGTGAATGATTAGCATCAGAATAAGAAGACCGGTGAACACTAAAGAACCTCTTTATTTGTTATATATATAACCAGGACTCTATAGGTTTGTAAGTTCTTAATGCTGATATGAATTGTCAGTATAGTGCAATAAAATTCACTGAATGTAAATAATATAGACCGTTGTTGTAATAATTGTTCGTCTAGTATCCAAACCACCAACCCATATCAAACCAATATATATATATATATATATATATATCGACCAAATATTATTTTGATAAATAATTATCATTTATTAATTAGTTGGCTAGACCGCACACTTAGTTGATGATTTTAACTTGGTATTTTAATCAATGATGTTATAGTTGCCCTGAGTGTTACTATAACAACAACTAAGACAAATAAAACAACGACAATAATAGCCAAATGTCATTACGACTAACAAAGCGATGATTATGGGACTATTACAGTAAACTATCCCATAATTTTGTGTGGATTGATCAATGAGTAGTAATGACCAATGCTATATTTGTCTAGTCCCGTTTAGCACTGATCGGGTCCCATCAATCGGGTTGTAACATTCCCCACTTGTCTAACTGACCTGAAATCGAGCGCACTTTGTTTAAACGATACGTGGTTAGATGCAACAGGTAGGAAACCCTCTTTGACCTAGGTTTCGTATTCATTGGGACTCGTCAGTAAGAGGTGTCTACAATCTTGGAACAACTGTTGTTTTTGCGGGATCGGAACGTTGATCGCCCAACTTTATGACCTGAGATGTTATCAGTGAGCTTGTTTAGATTCCGACTGACCTTCTATAGGGCTGAAGTATTTAAAATTAATTGATCACTGAGTACTGGCTGATGTTATTTTTGTCAAATACTTTGGTGTTAATTAAATTCTATCAACCACACATTATAGCTGTTACTTAAAATTCGTAAATTTTCGTACTATAGTATGTATGCGTAGAATTCGTTGATGAGTGCAGACAGTTATATTTGAAGCTGGGAGATACGTTATTATGTTTACTAGAGTTTATATGCAAAGGGAATATTCACAAAGTTGTACTCATTTACAATGTATAAAGAATCAGGGATAAAACACCTATGCAATGTACACTAGTTAGAAGTAACTCTATATTCGTTGTCAAGAATGCACCTGGATGATATGATAGAAGCAGAGTTTAACAATTTAATGGATTTTAAAATTGGTTTAATTACCAACCTGTCAATCTGTTCTAACCTTCTTAAATTCAATCCAATTTATATTGGACTAAAAAGACTTGCCCACAAAACCAATAAATTGTAACAAAAATGTGTATTATTTCACGTAAATGAAAATTTAAGAAAACATTTGATGATTACATTGAATTTGAACACTGATTAGCCCAGTTTGGTCTTGTACTTTTTTAGGACTGGTAACTCAGATGTTAATCTCTTTCTCACTCACACACACACACACACTCTCAAAATCTATCACGCAACTCGAGCTTATTCTCTCAAATTCAGTAGTTAGTTCAAATTAAATAATACATAAAAAGTTAAATTCTTCCTAGTTTTACCATAGGAATAAAGTCATTTTTTAAGTATCAACCTAATAATTACAGTGGTTACCATAGCCACTTGAACAAAACATAAAAATAGATTATATTTACAGGAATTGTAATAATATTAGTTACCAAATTGGGAAAACATGTATTTTTGTAATCTATTCTTTTCCACAATAAAACTAAAAAAACATTACCACCACCTTTTATAAACAAATTAATGAGTATATATTTATTATTTTAATCCTTTAAAAATATGTAAATAAATATGTGTACACAATTTTAGATTATCTCCAATTCGTAAAGCTACCTACCTCTATACATAGTGTTGTAACAGACTAGCTAATGTGATAAATTTAGTGAAACATTTAACTATGTTACTATGGAAACGTATACAACTAAATGTAGAAATGCATTAGGTAGATAGGTATCTGATTGAATATATATATATATAATATATATATATATATATATATAGTTTTCTGTCCATGGAAAGATGTCTCTAATTAATGTTTTGACTGTACAAAGACATCTCTTTCTATACAGATATATGTAATTTTAAATTGAAAAATATACATGAAAAGTAATCAGTGGATTCTGAATAGACAGTTAATTTGTCGTGCTATGTTCAAACCTGACATTCATTAAATAATAACTAAGTTCTCATGATAATTTATGAATTTGAACCCGAAATTACATCGTGATTTAATAGCATTGTATTACTTGTTTTAAAGTATTAGAAATAAGAGTAGATGATCACTAATAGTATATATTTAGGCTTTAAAAATTCTTTTAATTATTTACAGGAATTAGTCGATAAGATAACAAGTGATTAGATTAATAAACCATAATATGAAATCATTGAATTTCGATCTAAATTATAGAAGGTGCTTTAAGCAATTTGGTTGGAGTTCGAGCAAAAATCATAATCAATATTAGACGGATTTAAGTGATATTATCAGCCGTAATGTATATATTCTTTATTTTTTTTTTACTGAATAGTGAATTTCAATACTTTCGTATACATTTATTTCACTGATTCATGATTCTATGTAAAACACATTTTAGAAATTATGATTATTGCTAATAAGTTTCCAAACAATTGTTAGTCACTTAGTTAATTTTATTTCACTATGTTGATATAATGTGGTTACTTGGACAAATCAAATATTGATAATGACTGGTGGATTGACTGGTAGACTGAAAACAATATAGAATTAGAAAACCAAAGGAATTAGTCATCGTAGTTTTATCTACACTATATGTTATTGAGAACTCCGCCTGGAGTCCCTCCGGGGGCTACTGCCGGTCCCAAGCCCGGATAAAGGAGGAGGGTTGGGCATGGGGTTAGCGTCCCCATCCCGTAGAAAACTAACTCGCTAAAAAACGCTAACCAGAAAAAATTATTCAAACCTTTTAAACTCTGCCCTGGGAGTCAGAAGGTCTTCATTTAGAAGAATTATGACGCCTCATGATGAAAGCCGAATTCCTTCGGAAGTTACGAGGCCGATGCCCCTTCTGACAACCAGAGCGACCATTTATTTAGGTACATGGAATGTTCGTACAATGTGGGACACCGGGAGAGCCTTCCAAATTGCTGCAGAAATGAGAAGATACAACCTAGAGGTACTTGGGATCAGTGAAACACATTGGACACAAGTTGGACAACAACGACTAACTACAGGAGAGCTCCTGTTATACTCCGGCCATGAAGGAGAAAATGCACCACATACACAAGGAGTTGCATTGATGCTGTCCAAACAAGCGCAAAATGCACTTATAGGATGGGAATCTCATGGACCAAGGATCATCAAAGCCTCCTTCAAAACAAAGAAAGAGGGTATTTCAATGAACATCATCCAATGCTATGCGCCTACCAACGACTACAATGAAGACGCTAAAGATCAATTCTACAATAGGCTGCAGTCAATCGTCGAGAAGTGCCCAACAAAGGACCTGACCATTCTGATGGGAGATTTCAACGCCAAGGTTGGAACGGACAACACTGGATATGAAGACATCATGGGACGACACGGACTGGGAGAAAGAAACGAAAATGGTGAGAGATTTGCAAATCTATGTGCCTTCAATAAACTGGTCATAGGCGGCACCATATTCCCACATAAACGCATACACAAAACCACATGGACTTCACCGGATCACTATACACAAAACCAAATCGACCATATTTGCATCAACAAAACGTTCAGGAGGACTATAGAGGACGTGAGAACCAAGAGAGGAGCTGATATAGCATCAGATCATCACTTGCTGGTCGCCAAGATGAAATTGAAACTCAAGAAGCACTGGACAACGGGGCGGACAATATCACAAAAGTTCAATACGGCCTTTCTTCAGGATACTAACAAACTCAACAAATTCAAGATAGTCCTCAGCAACAAGTTCCAGGCCTTTCATGATCTACTCAATGGAGAAGGAACTACTGTGGAGAGCAACTGGAAGGGGATCAAAGAGGCAATCACTTCAACATGTCATGAGGTCCTGGGTCACAAGAAGCACCATCACAAGGAATGGATCACTGTTGATACACTGGATAAGATTCAAGAAAGGAGGAACAAGAAGGCAGCAATCAATACCAGTCGAACAAGAGCAGAAAAAGCCAAGGCACAAGCTGAATACACAGAAGTAAACAAACAAGTGAAGAGGAGCATCAGAACCGACAAACGTAAATATGTGGAAGATTTAGCAACGACGGCGGAAAAGGCTGCAAGAGAAGGAAACATGAGACAACTGTATGACACGACAAAGAAACTCTCTGGAAATCGCCGCAAACCAGAACGACCAGTGAAAAGCAAGGAAGGCGAGGTAATCACCAACATTGAAGAACAACGAAAAAGGTGGGTAGAACACTTCAAAGAACTCTTGAATCGACCAGCTCCACTGAACCCACCCAACATCGAAGCAGCACCCACGGACCTCCCAATCAATGTTGGCCCACCAACAATTGAAGAAATCAGCATGGCCATCAGACAAATCAAGAGTGGCAAAGCAGCAGGACCGGACAACATCCAGCAGAGGCACTAAAAGCAGACGTAGCGGCAACTGCAAGGATACTCCACATTCTCTTCAACAAGATTTGGGATGAAGAACAAGTACCAACAGACTGGAAAGAAGGACTTCTGGTCAAAATACCGAAGAAAGGCGATCTCAGCAACTGTGATAACTACAGGGGCATCACTCTTCTCTCAATACCGGGAAAAGTCTTCAACAGGGTATTGTTAAACAGAATGAAGGACTCCGTAGACGCCCAACTTCGAGACCAACAGGCAGGATTCCGTAAGGATAGATCATGTACAGACCAAATCGCAACTCTACGGATCATTGTGGAACAATCAATTGAATGGAATTCATCACTCTACATCAACTTCATTGACTACGAAAAGGCATTTGATAGCGTGGACAGAACAACACTATGGAAACTTCTTCGACACTACGGCGTGCCTCAGAAGATAGTCAATATCATACGGAATTCATATGATGGATTAAACTGCAAAATTGTGCATGGAGGACAGTTGACAAAGTCGTTCGAAGTAAAGACCGGTGTCAGGCAAGGTTGCTTACTCTCACCCTTTCTCTTTCTCCTGGTGATCGAAGGGATCATGAAGACGTCAACATCTGAAGGGAAGCACGGGATACAATGGACATCTAGGATGCAGTTAGACGATCTGGATTTCGCAGATGATCTGGCCCTTCTATCCCAAACGCAACAACAAATGCAGGAGAAGACGACCAGTGTAGCATCAGCCTCAGCAGCAGTAGGTCTCAATATATACTAAGGGAAAAACAAGATTCTCCGATACAACACAGAATGCACCAATCCAATCAAAATTGACGGAGACGATTTCGAAGATGTAAAAACCTTTACATATTTGGGCAGCATCATTGATGAACAGGGTGGATCTGATGCAAATGTGAAGGCGCGGATCGGCAAAGCAAGAGCAGCATATTTACAACTAAGGAACATCTGGAACTCAAAACATCTGTCAAACAACACCAAGGTCAGGATTTTCAATACAAATATCAAGACAGTTCTACTGTATGGGGCGGAAACCTGGAGAACTACGAAAGCCATCATCCAGACGATACAGGTGTTTATTAACAGTTGTCTACGCAAAATACTTCGGATCCGTTGGCCGGACACTATTATCAACAACGTACTGTGGGAAAGAACAAACCAGATCCCAGCGGAGGAAGAAATCAGGAAGAAGCGCTGGAAGTGGATAGGACACACATTGAGGAAAGCACCGAACTGTGTCACAAGACAAGCCCTCACATGGAATCTTCAAAGCCAGAGGAAAAGAGGAGGACCAAAGAACATATTATGCCGAGAAATGGAGACAGATATGAGTAGAATGAACAAAAATTGGCTAGAAGTAGAAAAGAAGGCCCAGGACAGAGTGGGTTGGAGAGTGCTGGTCGGCGGCCTATGCTCCATTAAGAGTAACAGGCGTAAGTAAGTAAGTAAGTAATATGTTATTGAGGAGGGGAAATTGACGAAGTAAATATTACAGTTGGCATTTGTCAAAGATTGATCTCAGTTAGGTACTATCGACAATCAGGAGTCACTGAATTGATATCTAATCCTATTATGGGGACTCTTTAGTAATGCTCACTCACGACCCCATTAAGGGTTGAGAACCCAGGACTTTCAGGATTCGCTGTGTAAATTTAATCATGGAAACCACTAAGCCGGTTTCCAATGATGCATTTCAATCAATTTGCCCCTGGTTTTCGATGATACCCCAAATGAGATTAATGTGTAACTAACACTGCCTACCAATCAAACCAATCTCCACAAAAATGCATTCAAATAAATAAACATTACACAAGATATGTATTGTGATAAGTTGTCGAATTGTTTCCAAAATAATTCTAGATCAAAACCAAACAAGATCTTAAGGTATCTATATCTGAGAGTAACAGAAGTTAGTTTCCTATGCCTGGAGCATTTATCTTTACAATCCCATGGTACGAAACAGGAACGAAATGGTTAACCTCAAACAAAAAGAACATTATCAATGCTTATCAAATATCTGTACAACTCAAACAGTTACCTGTGATTATTTATCAGTAGTTAATCACTATTGAACCAACTGGTATTATAACTTTGACGCTTGCAGAGATGAGTAACAGTTTTGAGTCTGAGTACATGAAACTGACAAGCTCCATATAAAATTACAATAAACAAGCGTCCCGAACATCACCTACGGTGGTTATCCATATCGTAAAATATAAATTATCTATTCGAGTATTAGTAAACAAATACTATCTTAGTAATGGAATAGTGTTAAATTACCCAACATCTTTTAAAAATGTAAAAAAAGTGAATTCATTCATTCATTAGTTTCTGTTACCCATTGAATTGAATCAGTTCAATACCATTGATTTCACTTAGTATTTACGTATAAATATCCAAATAAATAAATATGTGTCACTAGTTATACTTTTCAGGGCAAATCTAACTCTTAATTCAACTTGGTCAATAAGACTGAATTTTTATTATCTAATAATATAAAAAATTTGTCATAGGTATCAATAATAAAATTCGACAATCACGTATATACATACACAAAACACATACATTCAATGTCAAAATGGTATAGAAAAGACTACATTGCTTTATATTTAAGTATCATCCAAAACAATTTCTCATTTCGTCAATGAGAGTTACTCTAATTCTTAAGAAAAAGTATTTCAATGGGAAAAATATGGGTGGGGTGGTGTGATGTGGTGGTATATACGAGTATTGTTTTCGCGAATGATTTAATGCAAAGCTCGTTAAGTAATAAATTATTTCACCAACTATCCACAGAATTAAGTAATAGTTTTCATATTTTAGTGAATTACAAATTTAGAATGTGGGTTTGTAGAGGTTGTAGTGCTTATGATAGTTAAATTTATGAGTCGATATAAGCTAGACAACCATTGGAAACCTGAAAGTACTGGACAGCTGCTTCGTCTTAGTATGGGACTCCCCAGCAGTGCGCATCCACGACCCTGCATGAGGGACTTGAACCCAGGACCTTCGGTCTCCCAAGCGAACGCTTAACCTCTCGGCCACTAATCTGGCATCCAACACTGTTAATGTCTAGTTTCAATCGATTCATGATCTTACACAACCATTCATCCATTGTCTGAGGATGATTCCTGTCTCTACCCGACACGGATTGGACTCCACTGGTCACGGCCCAGTGCTTCCAGGCTTTCAGTGGTGGTCTAGCTTACATTGATCCATGAATTTAACTATTAAAGTTACAAATTTCTCCGTAAACAGTATTAATCCAAATGTGAACATTAACAGGTGGATCCAATTAAAGAGTCGTACACAGAATAAAACATGTGTTCTGCACTCAACTGTTTGTTAGCAACAGTTCATCTACTTTAAAAAAATTGTTATAAAATGGCTACATAGAATTAATCCAGAAATTGTAGATACATGCCACTTATGATGAATGGAAATTCAATCCTGAATATTAACGATGGAATAATTCAAATCCTTACAAATAATAATATTCGTCTGCATGAAATCAGCTTTCATTAAAAGAAATTAGTATCAACTGGCGAATTTCCGGAAACCACGAAGATCTAGACAACTGATTTTGCCTGTCAGTAGTATATAATACACACTAACATATACGGGAGATTATTTACAATAATAAGATCTTGGTGGTCAGCTTGAAACCATTCAATTATCCCAAGTTGAAATTCAACGGTTCATATTTCCAATAGCTTTGATCATTCAATAACATACTGGTGATATTTGTTCATGATGAAAATTAGCTCTAAGTTGAACTGAACCTTCTCTAAACAGTTCATTCTAACCTTAATAATCTGACCCATTATTAGAAATGTGTATTTTTCAATGAGTGTAAAAAAAAGCAAAACAAGACTTTTTAATGACCTTTCGCTATTTGTCAGGCTAATGCTTGTTCATTTTATTTTCGTATTAATTCAGAATTATCAGGGAGTCATAAGCAGTGCAGAACCTGGCACAAATGTCCTTCGGTTCACACAGTTACACCACATTGGTGCAGTGAAATGAAATATTCAAGGGGACTAGTAAAGTAGTAGACATAGTAACAGTATCAAAATTAGTGAAATCAAACATAGAGAATATGATCTAAGAATTAATAATGAGTTTATGGATTAAAAAGCACAAATAATTTTGCGACTCAGGATCTAGGGGAAGAGAAAGAGTGAACAGATCTGCACCACTATGACCGATTTCACATAAATCACTCAACACCTCTAACTATTGGTTTTGATAATTAGGCGGACTATAATTAGATAGTTCGCATCAAATACTATGGCTCAAACTCAACAGTCAATAATTTTGTGCACTGAGTTGTCTGCCTCTAGCTTTTATCCAAACTATGAATTCGGTGTTCATCTTGTTGTGCTAATGGGGTATAGGAACTTAGACCGATGCATATATGTGCCTAGTCCCACGTTGTAGATGACTGACAAACTAAAAATAAATCAGGTTATCTAGTTTTTTTTGTTATTACATGCGAAGTTCTTTCTCTTAAGAGCAACTTCGATGAAATTTTCCTAATCAGTATTTCTGCAATCACATTTGCTGTTACTTGTTTGTTAGCCATTGCTTTCTCTTTGGCAACTTTCTTGTTTGCTCCAAGGTCATTGAATGTTACCGTAAAACAGAGTTGTTTCTCCTCAGTTTTTGACTTCTGTTCGGTGTATAAAGTTATCCTGAAAGTCCCATCTTTGTCTCATATTAGTGCGCGGATTATCAATATCGAAGTATTGTTGCATAACCGATATACGGTTTATTCGAGTTTTTATTCGTCGTGTCGTAATAGAAGAATCCTTAATCGCCCGTAAATAGAATTCACCGTAGGCCAACCGAAAACTCAAATACCTTACTCATTCTTGTTAAGATTTAATACAAATATCGAGCTAGACGGTGATTGGACACCGAATGCATGTCTCAATCACTTATGCCGTTCGCAAAACTAATATTTCTTACAAAAAAATAGTACAATAATATATACAATCCACATATTTCAGTGTGTCCGTATAAGCCAATCTATTCTTCTAAGTTAACAAGACATTTTTGTTCGTTCAACTGTAACACGATCACTTGGCTACAGTAGTAATGTGATCACATCTTGAGATTTGAATAAATATTTTGATTTGACTTTTAAAGATCTTCAGTTGAAAGTGAAAATAACTTGAATACTCTATATAGACTGTCATCTTATACATTCTACTCCTCTAATTTGAATAAACTCACATTACAATGCGTGAATGAACGAAAGAATGAATAACTAAATGATAATTGCACAATTCTCTTCATTAAATCTAATCATAATAAACAATATAACAACAACTGATTACCAATTCTTTTTATTGATTTCTATTGCTTTCTTCTTCTAATTAATGAAATTTATTGCCAAATTTTCTCTAAAAATAAAGTATTAAATAATTATCTATTTATAGTAATGTGTTTTGATTATGTAAGAGAGAAGATTTACAACATTGTTGTTATTCACAGTAAGACTTCTTATGATATGATTGTTATCTTTAATCAATCAGAAGTTTTGGGTAAAGAACTTGAAACAGCTGATTTAAAATAAATTGCTCTCGAGGTTGTAGAACGCTGGAAACAATAAGCAGTATTATAAATCTTCAGTAAATAAATCGTGACTTACAATGACAAGTATGTAGATTTGCGATTTGATTACTAAATCTGGCATTATGTAACCAGTTTCTAGTTATCTACAAAATTTAAAATTTAATTTAA